GCGTCCTTTGTGTAAGGGTGTTGTGCTATATTTGGGGCCCAAAAAAGGACCCCAATTTAGAGAGCCGTTTCAACCTCCACCGGGTCATCGCCTTGGGATTTCAGGGTTTTGGGGTTAGGAAACGCGGATGCACCGAGTCGGGTATGAGCGGACTCCTGTGTCGGACGTCCTGAATTCCGATTCCTAAGCCCTAACCCCAAATAAAGCCTAAACCCTAAAACCTAAGCCCTAAACCCTAGACCCTAAACCCTGCTGAACCCTAGAACCTACTTGCAATGAGCCCTGATCCTCCATGAGGTCTGTAAAGGTCGGCTTTGCGAAGCGAGGGCTTCAAAACGCCCCTTGCTACAATGCAAAGCGGTTTAGGGTTTAGGGTTTAGGTGCCCAAGCCCTAAACCCTAAACGGAAGGCTTGTGAGCTCACATTTCGAGGATTTCAAGACCCAAAACCCTCAACCCCAAAGCCGACCCTAACAACCTCCTAACCCTAGAACCCTACAACTGTAAAACCCTACAACCCCAAACCGTAAAAATCCTGAACCATAAACTTTTAAACCCAAAAAAACACTAAACCCTAAGCCGGAGCCATCTTTCCGCAAGATCCCAATACCCCCTAATCAAGGAATATACTGAATATACCTTAAACCACAACCTTAAGCCCGTATAATTTGAAGTATATTCCTTCATTACCGGATATTGGGATCTCTGGGTTTGGTAGAAACTTCGTTTAGGGTTTAGGGTTTAGGGTTCAGGGTTTAGGGTTTAGGGTTGAGGTTAGGGTCTAAACCCTAACCCCGTTTAGGTGTTTGGGGGGTTTTAAGCTCTGGGCTTTAGGGCTTGTGGGGTTCAAAAACCCGAGCTTTTCTAAGGTCTCGGCTTTCGGGAAGACCTGTGTCGACGATTTTAGTTTCAGTGGGGTTTAAGGACTTTTGCAGCTTCGGGGCTTTAGGGTCTTTGGTGGAGGGTGTAGGGTCTAGGGTTTAGGGTCTAGGGTTTGGGGTTTAAGGTTTAGGGTTTAGAGGGCTTGGGGCCTAGGGTTCGCGCAACAAGGATCCTGTCATTTAAGAGATTTTCTGGCGTCCCTTATTCTGTGTAGGCAAGTGTAGATGGTGTTCTGGTGTGTGTGTGTGTGTGCGCGTGCGTATGCATGTGTGTATCTACCAAAAAACAAACAAGTACATGAACGTGCGTGCTGGCGCGTTTGCAAGCCCATTTGTAATACATTGATATGCATTCAGATAGGAACACAGACATATACATTGGCAGGCAGAAAGGCAGGCGGGCAGACAGGTACACGTGTAAACAGGTGCATGCAGACGTGTGCATATAGGGTTTTTGTGCATAACACTGGACATAGGTTCATAAATACATACATACATACATACATACATATTACATACATTGCACACATTACATACATACAGCACACACATAGAGTGGACACGTACATGCACACATACGGACCACAGTACGTGTCTTCTGGGCGCCTCGAAGTAGAGCCTCTGCTGAAGCCAGGGAAAGTAGCAGCAGGGCCCTGCCACACAGAGCTCCCGGATGCTCTGGGGGTGGTATCGAAACGTGCTACGGTCTGAGGGAACAGAATATTTTAAACCCACCCAAAAGCTGAAGATTGAAATAGTCATATACCATGTGCCGAACGCCGAACGTGATATCCTGCCATGCATGAAGAGGGTCGTGTTCCTGGAAGCAGAAGCGAACTGGAGGGTCTGGCATCTGGAGCTATGCAGAGTGATGGATGGATGCGGTTTCAGAATCAGGGTTTAAGTTGTACCCACCTTTAGGGTTTGGGGTTTAGGGTCTACCAAGTCCTTCAAACTTGCCTCCACCTGGTCGAAACATGGACATGCGGTGGTCCTCTGCGCTTCGGGCGGGGCAAAAAAATGGGTAGTTCTCTAAACTGGGGTCCCTTTTAGGGTCCTTTTCATAGGGGTGCCGTACTATATTTGGGACCCAAGAAGGGACCCTAATTTAGAGAACTACCCAAATGGTTTCAAGCCCACACACCATCAGTTTCCAGTCGCCAGCCCTACTCCAAGGGCTCTTTCCTACGGATCATGATCCATGGACTGGTAAGGTTAGGCAGTTCCCTGGTCAGATGTTACAGAGAAGTCTATAAAACGAAGGGGCTCATGGAGTGAGGAAACGGTTCTGTGGCCCTAAATCACCCTCAACCCTAAATGACTTCAACAGCGCTTGAATTAGAATGAAAGAGCGCCTCTATACGAGTCAGTACTAGACTACAACCCGTCAGGGCTTTAACCCTAAACCCTAAACCGGTATTCCTCCCTGGTGAGATTCTGAAGCAACCCGAACACTGATCTATGATGATCTATGCCTAGTCGAGGGTTGAGGGTCTTGGGTTTTTGAGGGCTATTTTTTACGGGCCCTTTTCCAACTGCAGATACAGTAGAAGTCCTTACCAGGATGAGCCTGCCGTTAAGGGTTTAGGGTTTAGGGTTTTAGGGTCTAGAGGTTGTGTGGGATATAAAAAAGGGGTAGTTCGTAGTGTACAAGGCTCTACACTTTCTAGAGTATTTGCTACGGGTGCTTCTCATGAACCGCCAAACCTTGGAAGCCTAAACCCTTAAAGCCTACACCCCAAAAACCTGAACCCTGTAGGGTTTTTAGGGTAGGGATCTAGGGTTTAGGGTTTGAAGCCCAACCCGAAAATCCGAACCCTGAGACCCTGAAGCTTAAAACGAGGCCCGACCTCATCAGGTGGCCAAGGCTCATGAAGCTAAGCCTCTTGGGGTGTAGGCTTTGGGATTTGGGCTTTGGGGTTGAGGGCCTAGGCTTTATGCGTCTAGGTCTTAGGGGTTTCGGCTTCGGGTTTGTGGGCTTAGGGTTTGGGGGGTGTGGGATTCCGCGGGTACGAGCTTAAGGTTCAGGTCTAGGTTGTGAGCGTCTTTTTGAACGACCCTTAAAAAAAAAAGGGTTTAGGGTTTAGGGTTTAGGGTTTAGGGGTTGGGTTTAGGGTCTGGGCTTTGGGATTTTATGGGGTGACGAATTGCAAGCTTGAGGGCTCAGGTGGGCTTTCAGAAAGACCTGTCAGGTTTTAAACCAGAGCTACTAGACGGAACGCGATTCACGATAGCAAGATTCCTAGAAAGGTTAAGGGCTACTGTAGCAAAGTGGATAAAGTTTAGGAGTTTTAGCTTTCTGAAAGTTTAAGGGGCTGAGAGCGTTCAAGAGAGTGGGGAAAGGGTATCTTTGGCTTTCTGGGGAAATCGGATTCCAAAGTTCCGAGTTTACGGCTTTTGGGATTGCGCGGGTGTAGAGTACTTATAGGCCTCGGATTCGCCGGCTGAGTGTTTAACAGCAATCCACCACCCACTCACATGCACTTGGGGGGCGGGCCGTGGTCGTTGCACAACTATCAGATGGAACGCTCCACCCTAACAACATTCGGAAATGTCCGCCAAGCCCACAGGCATCGTTGTAACACGACCCCTCAAGCACAAACTCTACAAGTCAAGGTTAGGGAGGGACGGTCCTACCAAAACATAAACCCTGAACCCTGTAGAGCGCCCTGAGCCCTGAACCCCAGACCCAAGACCTCAAGCAAGCGTAAACCCTTTAAGATCCTGAGCCCTAAACACTCTTCAAACACAAAACCCCAATACCATAAAACCAAAATTTCAAGCCCCAAAACCTTAAAGCCTAAAACCTTTAGAGTCTGCCGAATGCACCTTGTTAGGCAGACATCCAGGCCTTGTCGTCGTGTCGTCAGCAAACCGAAGCAGCGTAGTAGTTCCTGATTCTCAGGGTTTGGGCTGCAACGAGTCGGCGGTGCGGGGTTTAGGCCTTCAGGCGCTTATGGGTTTAGGGTTTAGGGTTTGGGGTTTAGGGTTTAGGGTGTAGGGTTTAGCCACATGAATCGACCGATTGCAGCAATGCCTCATCAAGCTCAGACACAGGTTTGGCGAATCGGGATCTACGGCGGGTCCGTGAGACAACTTGGGTTTGGGGCTTAGGGTTTAGGGACCCTAAACCCTAAACCCTAAACCCTAACCCTTAAACCCTAAACCCTGCACATGTGCACTTGCTCTGAGGCCCAAGCGATACCGGGTTCAGTAGCAGGGGCCTCCTTTCGGCCCCCGATAAAATGCTGCGGCATGCCAAGCATAGGGTTTAGGGTTTAGGGTTTTAGGGTTTAGGGTTTTAGGGTTTAGGGCTTTAGGGTTTTAGGGTTTAGGGTTTTAGGGTTTTTGAGTTTTTGGGTTTAGGATTCTTTGCACGACCCAGCCTGCTCGTGCAGCTTCTAGCACATCAACCCCTAGCCTTGCCCCCCGTGAATGCCGCTTTATCATTCACTTCAACTTCAACGTATCCTTGGGTTGATTTGGAGCATATATATGTACGTGCATGCCAGGTGCATGTAGCATGCTCGCTTGGTGACTTCAGCTGTGCTGCCTTCGGATGCGCTACCTGCGGCCTACAAACCCTAAAAGCCCCTAAACTCTAAACCCTAAACACTAAGAAACCCAGGCCTAAACCTAAAAACCCTAAAAGCCCCTAAACTCTAAACTCTAAGCCCTCAACCCTAAACCCCAAACCCTAAAAGCCCTTAAACCCTGAACCCTAAACACTAAGAAACCCAGGCCCGAATGTGGCTGCATGCACGTGCGTCAACCTTTGAGTGAGGGAGCACCTGGAGGGGTTTGTGAGCTTTACAAAGACGTACTGAGTTCATAGATTCATATAAAAAGTTTATAACAGCTGACCGGGTTTATCGGGTTTTACATGGTTGTGCATCTTAGTCTCAGACAGCGGTAGGCTTGCGTGCATCTCATGTTTGATCGCTGTCTAGCTGCATGTGACAACTCATTTGCAGCTGTATATGGGGGGCTCCATCTCTCAAAATCTGGTAAAAGGCGCGGCTTCCCTTTAGGGATTTGCCATGCTCGGGATTGCCCACCTGGACAGAGGCTTCGGAACTAGCGTTCCCAAGCAGCCACTGCAAATTCCTGTGTGGCACCTTCAAAAAGCGTGAGACTCCAGCACGCCTGCGCTGGCAGTAATCCTTTCACAGGCGTCAGTGTTCCCTTGCTCCAATGCCTGCATCAGAAAATCCGGCACCTGCATCTCACGAGCCAGGTCGGCTGCTCGCCGATGACGTGAGTTTTCAACGTCCATCTTCGCCCCATTCGCGATAAGAGCAGTAGCAGCTTCGTATTGCCCAGACAGGATGGCAAGCATCAGCGGTGTGGCTCCACCGCTGTGGTATCCGAGCCTCGCCGGGAACCTCGGTGTGATGAAAGCCGACTCGTGCAGCACGAGGCTCAGACTCTTCCGACTTAAACCACAAGAAGAAAGGTTCAGGCTTCAGGGCCTTTAGGGTTGGGGGGGTTGGGTTTAGGCCTTGGATCCTAAACCCTAAACCCTGAACCGCACTCTGCGCCTTTGACCCTTGCAAACTAGGACTCGGGCGACCGGCTGCCCATGCGATACCGGAGGCTCAGCCCTCCGAAAAGGACCCCCATCACACTGAAAGGCTTCACCTGGGCACTTCTTTGGCAAGAAAATCTATCCTTTTTATAAGCACGCCTCTTTAGTCGTTAGGAAACCGCCGCCCCACCACAAAAACCAAGCAAGATTCCTAGGATTGACCCAGTCACGGCAAAAGAGCTATTCGCGTCAGCTCGCGCAGAGAGCAGCTGCCGGATCATCTCGAATGAGCCTCGGCAAAGCTGCTTCTTCATAAGGACAGTGAAAAAGCACGCAAAGCAAGATCTAGAAAGTGACCAATAATAACAAAACATAAGATCCTGATAACGATAACGATGACGATGAGAAGGAAGACAGTGATGATAAAGATGAGGAAGGTGAAGACTGTTGTGATGATCGACACCGGTGAAGATGAAAGTTATCATGATGCATGACGTTGTTTGTGAACGTAACGATGAGGAGGAGAATAAGGCATGCTGACCGTCGTAAGAACCACAAGACACGCTTTTCACGCTATTCGCAGGGAGCCTCCTGCCAACCAGCATGCCCAGTGCAATGAGCGAGTCAGCTGCGCAGACGAAGCTCCTGCTTCGATAAGCGCCTGAGCGAAATTTGGCGCTTCGCTTGTTGCGTGTGAGAGCTTACGAAGCTATGACAACCAAGAGCGCTTCTCTTTAAGGTCTAAGAGTCTAAGCTGCTTTAGCTTTCCACGGAACCCGATCGCAAACTGAACATTCAACTTCATGCCGGCCCTACCCCAATCACCGTGTGGCATCGCCACATGGGCTTCGTTAGGCACAAGCCAACTTCAAGCCAACTTCGGTCACCTGCACAACCCCCGATGTATGTTGCAACACAAACCACAAAGACCTGTGCAAGCCGTGGCAAAACCCACCTGCATCACTTTCTGCGATCCGGCCAGGGCGGCATTCTCAAAGGCCGTGTGGCCAGCTGCATTTTGAGCCTGGCCATTGCTGAAGAACGAAAGGCTTCGAGACTAGCTGATGACGACAAAGCCGAACATGATGAGTTCGGGCACTATCACGAAGTAGGACGATACGATAATCAGCAGCTCGACGACACAAAGGACCGACAATTCAAAATGACATTGCGAAAGGTTCAGGCTAGTACTGGAAGTGTAGTACTCGGTAGTGGTGGTGGTAGTAGCAGTA